TAGGCACTATGCTACCAGAGCTCCCAAAAATTGCATTGCCAGTAAACCTTTGGTAAAAGACCAAAGATTGGTATGCTTTAGAGAGGAACCAAGTATTTTTAAAATATAAACTTAAATTAATTGATATTAAAATTAAACATTCAGTTCTTAAGAACATTAACCACATTCAGGTGTTGAATACCCATATGTGGCTTTTGGCTGTTGAATTAGACAGCAAAAATTATAAGATAGTTCCATGATTGCAGAAAGTTGTACTGGAGCAGAGCATTGTTCTGGGCTACTTCATCAATCAAATTCTGTGGCTTTTAGAATACTATCTCCATGTTGATGATGCCCAAATTGATTTCACCAGTTCCAGTCTCGCCCATGAACTCCAGTTTGATATGCCCAACTACCTGCTTGATATCCTCTACTTGCATTTCTAAGAGACCTCTCAAACGGAACTTTATTTTCTTTCCCAACTTGCTTTTCTTCCAGTCTTACCTAGTAAACAGCACTGCCCTTCACACAGACTAAAAACTTTCTTATTTAATCTCTCTTTTTCTTTTTTGAGGAGAGAAAGAAAGGAACTTCTTCTCCACCCCCACCCCCCCAAGGAGAAACAGTACCAGGAGAACTTCTATTTTCCCTTTCCACTCCTTACTCCACACTTCTTACACTTTCTACTTTACTCAAGTAGGAAAGAGTGACTTTTCTCACATTTAAAAGGCATTAACATTTTTTTTTGTGTGTAAAATATTTACAACAAAAAGTAAATGTAATTCAATACGTCAATTATATTCCCCAAGTTCTGTTACCACCGTCACTATCCATTGCCAAAGGTTTTACATCCTCCTAAGCAGAGTCAGTGGTCCTTCAGTAGTAACTCCCATTCCCTTTCCTCTGCCAGCTTCAGCTTGTAGTGATTTTAATAAACCTTTATTTATTTTAACATTTTTGTTGTACTTTAGGCGAAAGTTTGCAGAGCAAATTAGTATCACATTTGATAGTTTGTAATTAAAGTGTTCTGTGACATTGGTTGCATTCCCCAAAATATGTCTGCATTCTCCCCACTTCAGCCCTGGGTTCTCCATTTCCTTTCATATGAATTTTCTACCCCTTCCTGTCTTTTCCTCTTTGCTTTTGTGCAAATTTTGTCCTTTTGATCTTGTATAATTCATTGTTCTAAGGAACATGTTCCTTTTGGGTGTTATTGTTTATTTTATAGTCCTGTTTATTGGACTGAAAGGTGGTCTCCAGGACCAAGGTTTCAGTTCTAGGTCAGAAGGGTGTCTTAGGACCACAGTCTTGGGAGTTCCTCTAGTCTCTGTCAGACCAATTAGTCTGGTCATTTTTTTGTGAAATTTGATATTTTGTTCTAAATTTTTCTTCTGCTCTGTCTGGAACCCACTATTGTGATGCCAGTCAAAGCAGTCAATAGTGGTAGCCAGGAACCATCTCTCCTTCTGATCTTGTAACTGTGTAGATTGTGGTTCATGTGGTCTATTAGCCCTTTGGATTAATTGCTCTCTTAAGTCTCTGTTTGTTTCTACTCTCCTTTCTCCAGATGGGAAGTAATTTAGATGTATCTCAGATGACCACTTACAAGCTTTTAAGACCCCAGACACAACTCATCAAAGTAGGATGCAGAACGTTGTCTTTACTGACTCTGTCATGCCAATTGATGTAAATATCCTCTGAGGTCTTTTTTTCCCCCTCCTCACTTTTATTGTCGTGAAAACATACACACCAAGACATTCACCACATAACAGCTTCCATCAGGGACATTGATGACATTTTTCATATTGTACCACCATAATTACTACCCTTTTCCAAAATAAATTCTACCAGTTTGTAGTAATTTTTGACTTCTCTTTTATCTCTTGCATTCAACATCCAGTGCATCAAGCATATACTTGTCTCAGTGGCCTGGAATATTCTTTTCCTGGATACTCACATAGCCTGTATCCTCACTTCATTCAGATTTTTGCTCAAATGTCACTTCTTCAGGTCTTTCTTGTCCACTTTATCTAAAATAGAATCCCTCTCACTCCATTTCTCTGTTCTGTTGTACTTTTCTTTATAGTATTTAGTGCTACTTGACATTTTAATTGAGTCTGGTGGCTCAGTGCCTAAAGGATTTAACTGCTAACCAGAAGGTTGGTGGTTTAAACCCACCCACCGCTCCACTGAAGGAAGATAGATAAAGTAATAAAGAAATCTACTTCTTTAAAGATTTACTGCCTTGGAAACCCAGTGGAGGTCTGTATGAGTCAAAATCAACCCCCTGGCAGTGGTTTTTTTTGACACTTGAATATATGCTTGTATTTTTGTCTCTCTCTCTTCCACTAGAGTCCATGAGGATAGGGATTTTAGTTTTGCTCTATTCCCAGTGCCTACCAATAGCACTCAAACCCACCAGCCACTGCTCAGAAGGAAGGTTGTACAATCTATTTCCGTAGTGATACCACTTGGGAAGCCCAAGGAGGGGTGGCTATGAGTCGGGGACAACTCGATGGCCGTGTGTTTGGTTGGTTTTGGTCCCAATAGCTGGAATATAGTAAAAGTTTATTCAACGTTTGTTGGATTAAATGGCATATTATGAAATTTTCTGATGACATAAAAGTAGGAGGTGTAGCTAATATATTAAGTCAGTGTTGTTTGGTGATTCATATTTTCCATTTTACCAGTTACTGTATCAGAGAAAATGAGCCTACTATTTTTCTAAGGTCATTTATATGATTACAGTCATTTTGCTTTCCATTTATACTAAATTTTAAGAATATAAAAACTCTGGTAATTTTTGGGAATAAGTTTTGTTATGACATTAAAAAATAATTGTATTAGAAGTTTAAAGTTATAGTAATGATTTTGAATTTAAATGTTAGAATGATAACTATAAAATGTAAAAAATAGTAAGACATAATTCCCAGTCTTAAGGAACTCGTGACCTAGGGGATAAGACATGCATATAGACAAGTAGCTATAGGTAATCCATGTTTGGAAGCAGAGGCAAATGTATGCAATGCCCTAGGATAGCTTCCATTTATTAAAAAATACATCTGTATCTCCAGACTTTGTAGACACCTAGTACAATATAGGGTAGTAAAACCTAGACTACAACTGTGTAGAAAGAGTGACGGCAGAGTAAAGAAGAATAAAGCTGACTGATTGTACTGACAGAGAAAATTACGATCTCAGAGTAGAACTCCATAGATATCCAAACCAGTGCAGCAAAATAAAGAGGTAAATTAAGCCATGCCAGTGTAAGAGCATTAGAGAAATCCCTCAGCTTGGCCTAGAAAATGCCCCTCCAGAAGAGAAACAGATACAGCTCTCTGTCAGCTTTTACTTTTCTAATGGTCTTGCTGAATTAGCTGGAATAATTTTAGCTTTGTAAAATAGATAGCTCCACCCTGTGGTAGTCAAAGCTAAAGGATGCTAGTGATCAAAATGATTAGTACAGTATTACTTTAGGCTCATAATTTGATCATTTCATTTTCTATAATTTTACATTTAAAAATATATGATTTGATTAGCTCAGGAAGCAGTAGGAGCAGGGATGAAAAGTGTATGAAGGCTCCATCCAGGCTGTCCATTTGATTGAGCAGTGGATGCGCTCTGTACACTTTCAGCTGAGTGGAAGAGTGGGACTGAAATCTCCCTGTGCTTTGATGGCTATGTGGCCTGGTATGGGGCTGTATTTGCTCAGGTAGGGTGTTTTTTCTGATTTACATGCAGCAGTTCTGTACCGTTTCTTGCCCTTTTTGTCCGCAAGTGCATAGAATAGCATGTGGTACAAGAACTATTTGCCAGACTGAAAAGAACTCAGTACAGTTCTCCAGATTTGACCACTTTGAAGCAATTAAAGATTAATCTGATTAAAATCTTGTGACTCAAAATAAACCTTCATATTTGCTTCATAACTATAACAAAGAAATATCTTTCATGATTCTTTCAGGTTAAAAATTATAGGGAAGGGAAGAACCAGTAACTAACGAGAAGCATTTTGCTGCTATCCCAGAAGTAGCAATATATCCTTTCGTGTTCCAGAAATAGCCTTCATTATATCATATATGAGAGATTAACATTTAAAAACTTCAAGAATATGAAATTTGGTAATAGTTCATTCATTGTTTGGTTTTAGTGTTTTCTAACTTCTCTTAGAACCTCAAGTATCTTTCTTTCACCCTGGCAGAATAACTTGGATGTCCATAGGATTTGAGGGTTGAAGACTTTTTTTTTTTGGTGGCTGAGATACTTGCCTGCTAACCAGATGGCTGGTGGTTCAAACCCACCAGCCACTCCTCGGAAGGAAGGTTGGGCAATCCTACTTCTGTAGTGATACTGCCTCGGAAACCCAAGGAGGGGTTGCTATGAGTCGGGTTTGACTCTACGGCACGTAACAACAACAACAAGTGTAAATAAATGATATTTCACTGCCTTCTGGAGTCCAGTGTTAAAGAAGACTGATACTGGTTTAATTCTTCTTTCTTTGTAGTTAACTTGTAATTTACTTAGAGGTTATAAGTTAGGAGTTGGGAGGGAAGGAGTAGAGAGCTATGATCAAGTTACCATGTTCAGGTCACACTGTATTCCAAGAGTCTGTCTCCAAAGACTCAATTCCTGCAGCTGCGCATTTTTTTTAGTGTCTCTTGAGATTTTAAAATTTGTTGACTGATTCATACATCCCATATCAGGCTGTCCACTGAATTTCATGTCAGAACGATAAAGTTGGTATCTTAATTTGTTAAAATTCTTTATGGTTAGTATTGCCATAAGGAGCCCTAGTGGTGCAGTGATTAAATACTTGGCTGTTAACTGAAAGGTTGATGGTTTGAACCCACCAGCTGCTCTTTGGGAGACAGATGTAGCAGTTGGCTTCCATAAAGCCTTAGAAACCCTATAGGGCAATTCTACTCTGTCCTGCAGGATCACTATGAGTCAGAATCGACTCTACAGCAGTGGGGTTACTATTGCCATCAATATGTTTGTCTTTAAAATATTTTTATTTTTGTAGATGAAGCTTTACTCTAAGAAGATTTGATCCATCTATTTCATGAGTTCAGATTATAAAGACTAAATGTTACAGAAGTGTTGAAATACTGGTAAGTGTATAACGTAGTGAATATTTTGTAACATAGAATAATCAGATTAATAGTCAAAGTACTTGATTCAGTTTGAGGCTTTAAAATTGCAGTTAAGTGACTTTAATTAAATCTCAAAAGAAAAAGAAGGTAACTTTCCATTAGTAGAGATGGATGTATAAATTGTGCTTTATTCATGCAATGACATATTGCACAGTGGTTAAAAGGAATTGACATAATGTTAAGATTAGGTGAGTAGGAAGAAATGAATATTTCTTTAATGTAAAAAGCAAAAGTGCCCCCTCTTATTCCTAAAAAGGAGTTTTGGTGGTGCAGTGGTTATGGCATTTGACTGTCAACCATAAAGGTCAGTGGTTTGAACCCGCCAGCCACTCCGCCGAAGAATGTTAAGGCGGTCTGCTTTCATAAAGATTTACAGCCTTGGAAACCCAATGGGGGTTGCTATGAGTCGGAATCAACTTCATAGTAGTGAGTTTGTTTTTTTGTTTTTACCCTAACAGTGTTGTTCTGTTATACTCACTGCCGTTGAGTCGATTCCTATGCACAGTAACCCTACAGGACAAAGTAGAACTGTTCTATAGGGTCTCCTAAAAGATTAAGGGTTGTAATCTTTATAGAAGCAGATTGCCACATCTTTCTCCAGAAGAGCAGCTATTGGGTTTGAACTGCTGACATTTCAGTTGGCAAACTGTGTGCTTAAAGTGTGCACCATGAGGTGCTAATCAGTTGCAGTTAGACATAAGAATAGAAGTGTATAAAAGTTTGATAGGATAATTTAGAATTTTTATTATTTGTAGCTATGAGGGCTTTATATATAGTAAATGCAAGACAATCAGTATAAGAATTCAGTACAGGGTTTGGACACATGATTACTATATCAAAATAAACTTCCTATATATGTCTTATATACTACTTTTCCCAATTAGAATATATTATGGAAAACAAAATCCCATCAGAATAACAATGAAAACTGTAAAACACTTTGGAATAAACCTAACAAGAAACGTATGAAACCTATTATATGCATAGTAAGTCCTACTTCAAAAACTTTGCCCTAATGAAATGATAGGATGAATTTGCAAATAGTTTAAAGGTATTCATTGCAGCTTTCTCTATGATAATGAAAAACTAAAAATAACCTAAATATTCAATAATAAGAGATTGGCTTCATAGTTATAGAATGCTGTGCAGCTATTAAAAAATGATAAGCACTCATGTGAAAAGGATTTCCAAAATCCCTAAGTATTAAAGAACCGATATTTGTAACAAAGGTAATTGGTACATTATGGGAGAATGGGTGATGCACATTTATTTTTGTATACTTTTCTATCTTTTCCTGATGTTTAATAATATTTAAAATAATAATATTTATGTATCATTATTATAATAACAACCAGAATTCTGATGGGAGTCCAAGAATTAAACCACTGGAAACTAGGTTGGTATTAGATATTTTAGGTGCTTCTCTTTGCATCTTGCTGTTTCAGTTTCACCCAGTTGACTTCTTCTGAGACTCATTTACTTTATAATTACCATTACAGACCCATCTCTGTGTGACCTTTCCACATGAACTATGTCTCCTTGTTCAGACTAAGATAGAGAAAGAAAACCTCACTGGTACAATTCCCCTCTGCTAACTGTATTACACAAGTCACATCTTGCTAGCCACCATGTATGTTGGCTGTTCCTTACTCTGTTGTACTTCAGTCATTAGGGTCCAGAGACTGACTGGTCTCCTGATGGTAGGTGTAGTCATATTGCCCATTTCCCTCTCAGTAGGAATGTTAGGGAAGACTTCCCTTCAAATAGGAAAAAGGAAGAGTAGGCAATATATGTCTTATTTAATTTATCCTTTCTAGGTTCAAAAATTTAAAAGGTCACTAAAACCAAACCAGTTTCAGTCAGATCAATTCCAACTCATAGTGACCCTATAGGGCAGGGTTAAACCGTCCCAGAGGGTTTCCTAGCTATAATGTTTACTGGAGCAGATCACCAAGTCTTTTCACCTGTGGGTCTGCTTGGTAGATGTCTCAAAATTACTTTTAAGATTAAACTATTTTGAAACTCTAGGGATTTTGTTCTTTGTGACTTTTCCTTTCTGAATATTTATATCTTTTTAATTTATAATTATGTTCCCCCTTTCTATCTGCTTTATCTTATTAGGTTTTTTAATCTTAAAATATTCAATATTTAAAATTCAAGGGATATCATACCATTTGTCAGATGGATCTTGGCTGAAGGCAAAGAATACCAGAAACATGTTTACTTGTGGGTTTTTTTTTAATTATTTTTTTTATTGTGATTTGGGTGAAGATTTACAGAGCAAATTTACTTTCCATACAGCAGTTTACATATAATTTGTCTCATGACATTGACCACAGTTTACCACAATGCCACAGCTTCCCTCCCACTTACTCTGCATAGTACCTCTTCCCAGTGTCCATCCCTCCATGGACTCCTGCCCCCTGAGCTGTCTCCCTGTGCATAAGTAACCCTGTGCATAGACAGCCTTTCTTTCTCAATGATTGTTCTCTCCAAGGAGTCTATCTACCTCAGGTAAATGTTCAGCTCACATGCCTGTCTTCTGTTTGGCTGGAAACCACAGGTGTGGGTTCAATTACAGACCTGAAGGGCAGCTAGGGGCCGTAGTCTCAGCAGGCTCTATCAGACCAGCAACCTGGTCCCCACTCCCTTTTAGTTTTTCTCTCCAAATGATTTTGAGTTTTGTTACACATTGTTCTCCCTCTCTATCAAGGATCTCCTACATAGATCCCCTTCCAAGTGGATGACTGTGGTAGCTGGGCACCATCTAGTTCTTCTGGTCTCATAGTCGTATAGGCTGCAGATCGGATGGTGTACCAGTCACTGGGACTACTTGTTTCCATGAATTTGGTTTTCTTCATTCTTCTTTGCCCAGGATGAGGAGAGACCCATCATTGCATCTAGGTGGCAGCTTGCTAGCTTTTAAGATCCCGGTCACTACTCGCCAAAGTAGGAGGTATTTTATATAGTATGTTATGCTAATTGAGCTTGATGTCCCCTGTGACTATGGTCCCAAGCCCACAGGTTCAACTACTCGGTCCCTCTGGGTAGCTGGCTGTGACCAAGCAGTGACCACAACCTTCCCGTTGTCAACTCTACTATACACCTTGGAATTCTGATCATTCACATAAATTTATAGGACCATTGTCTGACAACCCTATATATGTTCTTGGGTACACTCCTCATTTCATAGACATACCTAATCATTCAGCCTGTCCACCCATCTATCCACCCATATACCCATGCTTGCCTTCACTGACAGTGCAGTACTGTATATGCAAAAGGTGCAGTACTGTATATTTGTTGTCTGTACCTCCCATGTACCTCTCTATGTCTTTCTCATCCTCAATGCTGTCATATTGATCACTCACATTTGGTACATTGGCCTTCTCTTCACCCAAATCAATACTTATCTCTATCTATCTAACAGCATTCCCTACCCTAACCTCCCACCCCTGGTAACCAACAAAGAAAATGTACTTCTATAGATAAACCTTTCCTTAACTTTTACGATATCGGACTAATACAATATTTGTCCTTTTGTGATTGACTTATTT